CTCCTCCTACAAGCTTTAACCAGTGCTCAACTGGACACTGATAGAAGTCGCAAGACTACTCTAACTGCTGATGAGAAAAGGTATTTAGCATTTTATATTTACTAAAATAATTGCATTTCCATGTTCTGTGTACTGTGGGAGATCAGATATAGTGAATGCAGGATCACGGGTTTAGCAAGATTTTAAAGACTGTGGTAAAAATGTATGAGAAACAACATAACTAGCAGATGGAAGTACAATTTCCTAGCAGATAATGTTCCCAGTTTAAGCTGATTAGGCTGAAAATGATTAATGACTGCAAGAAACTACATGAAAACTGAGTTAACTCTTGGCTCTTCCACTTAGTACGATAAAAATTGTTTTCTTCTTTATCTGTTTCCTTTGTTACAGATAGCTTTTCCTGCATATTTTGTTTGCAATCCTAAAACAACCTCTGTAGTTATGAGATTGGTGATTATATAATTTACAACTAATTTGATCAAGAATAATATTTTTAAATGTTTTGAATATTTGGACCAATTAGACCTTAGTGCAAACAGTCAGCGCTGACAATTTGACCCCTTCACACAGAATATGTGCTTGTGCAGTATAAAGACATGGCTAAGGCAGTGTAGGCTTAGGAAAGACCAAATGGAACCGGAACACTAGTTCATTTTGGTCTTACTCAGGCATGCTGTATTCTCTTGATAATTTAGTCAATACAATATAAGATCATGGGCACCATTAGCAAGAAGGCACAAAGGTGTGTCCATGATAGAGTACTGTGATCGGTGTCTCTATTAGATGGACTAATTGGTAATATTGGTTGTAGGATGAGAGATAATTAGCTAGAAGGTTGGGGTATAGGTGGGGGGGACATAAAAAAAAAATTTGAAGGGTGTTGTCGTTTGGAGAAAATGACAAGTGCTTCCAGGAAGGACCAGGTGCATTCTGAATGTGACGCGCTGACCAAAAAGGATCCATCTGATCCATCCTGGAAGTGCTAATGGAAAAGAGGTGGAAGAATAAGGATTTCAAATCCCAAAACTGTTGGAGCAGCTGCGGGGCTCGGCAAGCACGGAGGTAAGTACAGTGGGACTATGAGGAAAGGTATTTGGTGTGTTAGCACACCTTTATATTTTTTCTGTAAAGGTGAACCAACCCTTTAAGCAGTTTTCCACACATGTAGCGTTGGACTGCATTAGGCAATGTTCCCTAACACAGTCCCAATGCTAGAAGAAAGCAATATGCCTTTTGTCCTATGGTCTCAGTTCACACCAATACACTGTGTTGGTGTGCGCTGAAAAAAAGTAGGACTTGTTGCATTTTTGTAAAATTTTGTAAACCCCCAAAGTTATATATTCTCTGAAAGTAGAAGCCTTGTTACAGCGTAGAGTAAAATTATGGTAGTTGCGATTTTTTATGTTGCATTATATTTGCTCAGTTATTTATCAAACACAAATTTGCAGGAAGAATACACTAAAATGAATTGCATTGCTTAAATAGATACCAAACATGTCACATCTTAAAACTGTGCATGGCTGTGGAATCACAAAAAACTTTGGTACCCAAAATTCTTCACAGACAACGGTTTAAAAGCCTTTAGGTCATCAGTTTAGAATTTTACTGTGAGCTATGGCCTCAGAATTATTGCTTTCAGTCTGACCTTTGTGATAACTCACATGTGTAGTGCAGTTGAGATTTTCATACATGTGCTTGCCCTAAGCTGTGGTGTTTTTTATGGGGTGTGTGCGGGTGTGACAGGGGTGCTTTTATTTGTTTAATCTACAGTAATTCTTTTTTTTTTTACACTTTTAAATGTTTTAAACTTTATTGGTACAATAACCGAGTATGACAGCTGTGACCCCTGTCATTAGTCACAGGAGGAATCAGGGAATGCATGTTTCCCATGGTCCCAGGCTCCCTTGAGAGCCCCATAAAAGTGACCACCCAATCATTTTCAATGGAAAGCCTTTTTTCTGGCTCTTAATCCTTAATTTTTTATTAAAAGAAAAAAAACATGTTATATTTATCTGCTCTGTGCAATGGTGTTCAACAGAGCAGCTCCAATCCTCCTCTTCTGGGATCCTACGCCAGTGCTCCAGGCTGCTCCTCTTGACGAGTGCCCCAATAGAAAGCCGCTTGCCATGGAGGCACCTGTGTGGGCTCTCTCCTGAGCCACCCTGTTTGTGTCCGTTGCTTGGCCCCGCCCCTAGGTCCCTCATCACAGCCAATGGCTGTCACTTCTATTAATCTGCCCAGTGAGGAGGGAGACAGAGCCACTGCTCTTATGTACATCACTGGGGGGATCCTGCAGCACAGAAGGTTTTTTTTGCCTTAATCAATAGAATGCATTTCTATTAATTAATATTTAAGGCCTGAATTGTTTTTAAATGTTGTTGCTGCCCTTGAAACTCATTCTGCAGATAGCATGTGCTTGGCTCACTATGTCACCGCATTGTTACTCTATGGGTAGTGCTACCCCCTTGTGTAGTATACAGAGGTATGGTTTCTCTTTTTTCTTAAGCAAAAAAATATAATTTTATATAAGGTAATACATTAATAGGATCACCCAAATTACCCTTGCTTCAAGAGGGACTGTGCCTGAAGAATGGAATTGACTTCTGGGCTTCTTATAGAAATTTTGTCTTCAGCAGAAAAGTGTAGGGTCCTTGGACCCCTCCCTTTCACTAATATTTGCTGGGATCCTATTGCCTATTTGTTATATTAGGGCTTCTTCACACTTGACTAAATTTCTAACTCTTACCAAATGCTCCTATAGCATTAGTATTGGCGTTAGACAGGTGTTAATGCACTTTAGCATGGCCTTTAGACAGGTGTTAATGGACTTTAGTATGGGCATTAGACAGGTGTTAATGGACTTTATTATGGGCGTTAGACAGGTGCTAATGGAATTTAGCATATGCGGTAGACAGGTGTTAATAAACTTTAGTATGGGCTTTAGGCAGGTGTTAATGTACTTTAGTATGGGCGTTAGACAGATGTTAGTGGACTTTAGTATGGGCGGTAGACAGGTGTTAATGGACTTTAGTATGGGCGGTAGACAGGTGTTAATGGACTTTAGTATGGGCGGTAGACAGGTGTTAATGGACTTTAGTATGGGCTAGACAGGTGTTAATGGACTTTAGTATGGGCGGTAGACAGGTGTTAATGGACTTTAGTATGGGCGTTAGGCAGGTGTTAGTGGACTTTAGTATGGGCAGTAGACAGGTGTTAATGGACTTTTGCATGGGCATTAGACAGGTGTTAATGGACTTTAGCATGGGCGTTAGACGGGTGTTAATGGACTTTAGTATGGGCGTTAGACGGGTGTTAATGGACTTTAGCATGGGTGTTAGACAAGTGTTAATGAGCTTTAGTATGGGCATTAGACAGGTGTTAATGGACTTTAGTATGGGCGTTAGACATGTGTTAATGGACTTTAGTATGGGAGTTAGACATGTGTTAATGGACTTTAGTATGGGAGTTAGACATGTGTTAATGGACTTTAGTATGGGCGGTAGACAAGTGTTAATGAGCTTTAGTATGGGCATTAGACAGGTGTTAATGGACTTTAGTATGGGCGGTAGACAGGTGTTAATGGACTTTGGTATGGGCGTTAGACAGGTGTTAATGGACTTTAGTATGGGCGTTAGACGGGTGTTAATGGACTTTAGCATGGGCATTAGACAGGTGTTAATGAGCTTTAGTATGGACATTAGACAGGTGTTAATGAGCTTTAGTATGGGCATTAGACAGGTGTTAATGGACTTTATTATGGGCATTAGACAGGTGTTAATGGACTTTAGTATGGGCGTTAGACAAGTGTTAATGAGCTTTAGTATGGGCGGTAGACAGGTGTTAATGGACTTTAGTATGGGCGTTAGGCAGGTGTTAGTGGACTTTAGTATGGGCAGTAGACAGGTGTTAATGGACTTTTTGCATGGGCATTAGACAGGTGTTAATGGACTTTAGCATGGGCGTTAGACGGGTGTTAATGGACTTTAGTATGGGCGTTAGACGGGTGTTAATGGACTTTAGCATGGGTGTTAGACAAGTGTTAATGAGCTTTAGTATGGGCATTAGACAGGTGTTAATGGACTTTAGTATGGGCGTTAGAATGGTGTTAATGGACTTTAGTATGGGCGTTAGACATGTGTTAATGGACTTTAGTATGGGAGTTAGACATGTGTTAATGGACTTTAGTATGGGCGGTAGACAAGTGTTAATGAGCTTTAGTATGGGCATTAGACAGGTGTTAATGGACTTTAGTATGGGCGGTAGACAGGTGTTAATGGACTTTGGTATGGGCGTTAGACAGGTGTTAATGGACTTTAGTATGGGCGGTAGACAGGTGTTAATGGACTTTAGTATGGGCGTTAGACGGGTGTTAATGGACTTTAGCATGGGCATTAGACAGGTGTTAATGAGCTTTAGTATGGGCATTAGACAGGTGTTAATGGACTTTAGTATGGGCATTAGACAGGTGTTAATGGACTTTAGTATGGGCATTAGACAGGTGTTAATGGACTTTAGTATGGGCGTTAGACAGGTGTTAATGAGCTTTAGTATGGGCATTAGACTGGCGTTAAAAACACTCCCCAAATGCCCTATGCACAGTTTTGCTGCATTTTGTAAGCTTTTTACAAGCGTTAAAACCTCACCACAAATGCCTATAATAAACTGTAATATTATTAACATGCAAACACACTGCGAACACCCTGCAAACACCTGCCAGTGCGTTTGCGGAGCATCACCATAGACTTGAATGGAAGGCATTGAAAGGCCTCAAACTCCTTCAGACTTGACATGAAGCATGAATTTTGAAGCAACGCCTTGCTAACGCTTCATGTTTTGATAATGTGAACAACACTGTGCTGTCTATAGTATCATTTGCGTAGGAATTTGAATAGTCTTAAAACACCCCTCAAATTCCTGCTTTCAATGCCAGTGTGAACTAGGCCTTACTCTTTTCCTTTGCTGTTCTACATATCTAATAATTCTGTATCTGTTTTCTACAGTGGCAGTGTTGTGGTGCTTTTGGAGCTGACGACTGGAATCTAAATATTTACTTTAACTGCACAGATGCCAACGCTAGTCGTGAGCGATGTGGAGTGCCATTCTCCTGTTGCACTAAAGATCCTGCTGTAAGTTTATTTCTGTTCTGCTCCATTTCCCTTGCCACTTATCGAAATGCACCTGATGTAAGATTTGTGCCTCTGAGCTTTCAGTACTTCCATTTCATGTGACCAAATGAACCCAGTTCAGCTTCCTTAAATCATAGAAGCATGTCACTCCGCAGTTCATTCCTGGCCCTCCTCCTGTCTCATCACCCAGGAGTTAAATGACAGAGGAAGAATTCTGCATGACGTTTTGCTTATGTTAGAGCTGGAGAATGCACAGTGATGTTGCTCCTTTACAGCGCACAAAATCTGGTCTGTTTCCCATCTACAATGTTCAAGTCTTGTAATATTGCAGCCTGATAATATGGGGTACATTTTATTTCATAGACTGATCTCCTGGCAGTACTGAAGCTGCACGCTCTTTTCTGGCATGGTGTACTTTGCTTGGAAGGATGATGGAATTATAATTTGGCTGGCATTACAAGATTTAAAAAAGCAATTGGAACTGCATTGCTCTTACTGATAACTATGATTTTCTTTCTGTTCAGATGTTTATGGCTTTGCGTTCATTGTAAAATACATTTCACAAAGCTTTTAACAAAGAAAGGTGTCATTTTAATGAGCATAGCCGAAAAAATTGCTAAAAACTGTTGTGGCTTCGTAGTGTTACAAATTACCATCCAACATGATTCAAGAAACAAGCTATCCACAGTTCTGACCCCGTGTAATAATACAGAAGAATCATTGAAGGATTAATGTTCTTATTTTGCCATGGTGATAACAAAACTTACATATAAATGTATATACAGTATATATGTGTGTGTATGTATATATATGTATACTGTATATACACACACACACTGTGTGTATGTATGTATGTATGTATATATATATATATATATATATATATACACACACACTGTGTATATATATATATATATATATATATATAATATATATATATATATAATATATATATATATATATAAGATCCATCAGTACAGTAACATGACAGGACCACGTCATGTTTTTAGCAGAAAGCTAAAAGCCAGGTCAATGGAAAATTTAGAGAAGAAAGGCAAATGGAACAATTGAATCACTTCACCGATCTTTTCTAAATAGGACCTTTACTAATATATTGGGTTAGGAATTTTACTTATATATAGGGTTAAGCTTGAACTTGGGGTCTTTAATAACAAAATAAATGGTTTATACATATCCATATGACTTCTGCACTGTCATTCCGATGATTGGTTGCTCATGCAGGCAAGAACCCCCGTTATAGACAAGAAAGAGGGGAGTCAAGTGTTCCCCATACTGAGAAGTTGACTCAGTTTCTAGGATTTCCTGACAATATATCAGGGTGGTGGGGGAGAGCGAAAGCGGTAAATATTGGCTTCTTATGGTCCATCTTGTAAAGTACATCTGTTGTGTATGGACACAGCTGAATTACCATGTAAGCCAGGCAATAAATGGGATCTTCTTTTGCAGCATCTCTGGGACCTTCCTGGTTCCCATATAAACTACCTGTGTAGACAGTGTGCTAACTGACAGCGAAGCATGCTGGAAAATATTTTTTTTATAACAAACAGTGAGAAAAATGGTAATGTAGGTCTAAATTCAATTAATAAATCACAAGTAAGCTATGAAAGTAAAAAGGGGAAAACCGTTCTTTAGCAAACTGTCAGATACTGTTAGCGTGTGATATTTCTATATTTACAATAACATATTCTTTTTCTTATAACTTTTAGGAAGATGTCATCAACACTCAGTGTGGCTATGATGTCCGACAAAAGCCAGTGAGTACAAGAGGGCTGTCCAGCTGTGTTTTATGATTAATGTTTCTTAAGATAATACATTTCCATGACACTGTTAGTTAACATTAACCTTCAGAAGTTTATGTCTTTTTATATGTAATTAGTACGGAACAAATACTTTTGAATTGCTGTGATTATTTTTTTTTACATTTAGGAATTAGACCAGCAAGCCACCATTTCACACCAAGGGTTGCGTTCCTCAGTTTGAGAAATGGCTGCAAGACAACCTAACCATTGTGGCTGGGGTATTTATTGGCATTGCCCTTCTACAGGTAAGTAAGCTTGATTGCAAGAATGGTAATATCAAGAGGGAATCAAACTTTATTATTATAGCAGGTTGCCTGATCCACATCTCTCCTGCAGTCTGTTCAGAGTTGGCAAATAAAATTACCCACTGCTCTGGTGAATTTGTAAAGAAGACCTGTGGAGAAAGAAAGTGTGACTGCAGTTAAAGTAACCCTTTCCTTTCCACTATTAAGATAATGCCTGAATTAAGAATAATAAATTTTAAATGGATCTTTAATATACATATACAGTGCTCAGCATAAATGAGTGCGCCCCAACAGATTTGTCAGAAAACCTTTACTGTCCTTTCAGAATCAACCTTTTCTATGTGACACTATACTACAAAATACTCCCACAAATGCGGCCCATTGATTGCAAACAAGATTTGTTAATTTGCACACATAAAAAAAAGCATTATTCCTCACAAATGTATTCAGGACCATGTTGCAAAAATGAATACACCCCAATGAAAGCCTTAGGAGCAAAGCTAAATTTTAGACAACAAAATCCTAATTAACAAGAATTCAAGTACAGGTGAGTCTAATTATTCATTAAACAGGTGTCCAGCAGACAGTTGATTATAAAAGGGTGTTACTTAACAAAGAAAATCCCTTCCCATTTCTTGCTGTCAGCAATGGCACCACATGGAAGAGTAATGTCACAAGGCCTGAGAAAAAAAAAAATTTCTTTACACAAGAAAGGTGAAGGCTACAAGAAAATCAGCAAAGCTTTACTTATCAGTCAAAATACTGTAGCAAAAGTGATACAAAAAGTTAACAAAGATGGAACTGCAACCATCTCACAGAGACGTCCAGGCCATACACAGAAGTTAACACCTCGACAGGAGTGTCTTTTGATGAGGAGTGAAGAATATCGCGATGCAAATTCACTGCAGTTAGCTAAAGAAGTAGAAAGCCAAACTGGGGTGATTGTTTCCCGTGACACAATACGGAGTACACTGCAGAGGAATGGCATGCATGAGTGTCGTTCATGAAGGAAGCCTCTCCTAAAGCCCATGCACAAAAAAGCCCGCCTAGAATTTGCCAGTGCCCATTCTGAAAAAGAAGACGACTGCTGGGACTCTACTCTGGAGTGATGAGATCAATGTTTTTGGAACTGATGGCTTCAAAACTGTATGGTGTTGCAAAGGTGAGGAGTACAAAGAAAAATGAATGGTGCCTTTAATGAAACATGGTGGTGGCAGTGTCCTTCTGTGGGGCTTCATGAGTGCTGCTGGTGTTGGGGAGATGCATTTCATTGATGGTATCATGAATTCACAGATGTATTGCTCTATATTGAAAGGGAAAATGCTACCATCACTCCGTGCCCTTGGTCGTTGTGCACTTTTCCAACATGACAATGATCCAAAACACACATCTAATGCCACTGTTGCCACTGTTTCTGAAGAAGAACAAGGTGAAAGTGATTCAGTGGCCAAGTATGACTCCTGATCTGAACCCATCAAACACTTATGGGGAATTCTGAAGAGACAAGTTGAGCATTACTCTCCATCCAGCATCCAGGCTCATAAAAGACGTCGTTCTTGAAGAATGGAAAAAGATAGATGTTGCAATATGTTGGCAATTTGTTAATTCCATGCCTAGAAGACTTGGTGCTGTCCTTACAAATCATAGAGGTCACACAAAATACTAGATGTAGTTTTTGTTGTGGGGTGTATTCATTTTTGCATCAACCAATATGAGTAAAACTGAAGATTTTGAAATCTAAGTTATATTATTAACCTTACTTTCATGTAGTGAGCTAAACAAATGTAAGACTCAGTTTTGTCAAAATATTGGAAATTGTTCTTGTGTTCATTGAGATATTGTTTTAAATCTCACTTTTCTAATGGGGTGTACTCATTTATGCTTAGCACTGTACAGTATCTATTTGAAGATCTGAAAATTAAAGCTGAACTTCAGGAATTCAGTCACTTTGTAAAATGTTTTGGAACCTCACATATCTGTTTTGTTTACAACTGACAGTTTTGCTAAGCACTGGGAGTGCAGGTATCACTACACTTCTGGTGCTTGGACAGGAGGTATGCTCCTTTCTCACACACAGCAATTCTAGCTGAACCTCCCCTCTGCTGTTCATTCATAGGAGGCTTTGTATTTGTATATGGGTTCATATAATACAAAGTGCTCTGTGATTGGCCAGATGGAAGGGCGGGCACAATGGCTGCATGTGACTCTGCAGCTGCAGGAGCTGAGCCCAGGAGGTCCAGCGCTAGAAGTATAGCAAAAGCCATGCTCCCAGCACTCAATAAAAATGTCAGTTGTATATTAAAGAGATAAGTATACGAGGTGGCATGCAGCTCATTGGACTTAATGTCTAGTAATCCAGCGCATTTTTCAAAGTGTCTGAAGTCTTCACTTTAGCTTTAAGGGCCTTCTTCTGTATACCTCAGGTTGCTGCCTGATGGGAAAATCCTGTGTATCCAGTTGGAAGTTGCATAAGATGGAAGTGAGCAAGCCAGCCTTAGACTTTTTATGTCTAGGACAATTCTTTACTGGTTAAATAAAATATATGGTCCAAGGTTAAGGTTGGGAGAACAGAGATCCCCTACATATATTTCCTATGGCTTCCAGCAGCACTCATAATATTAATAATTTCTATCAAAAGTAAGTAGTCAGCACATAGGAATCTCCCTGAAGTCTATGCTCTGGCACTTTATTGCAAATCTGAGATTCATTTCATTGTAGGACTGTAAGCAGAAAGGAACAGACACAAGGCAGAAAAGCAATATGTCCATTCCCTGAAGTTTCCAGCCAGAGATTTTAGTTCTAGACTCTTGACTAATCTTAACTTATGATCCTGTCATAATAGATTAATGAGTGCTGTCACTGCCAGAGCATGTCAAAAGCTGTGAATCTGTGAACTGTTAGTATTTAGTGAGTTTAGGATCGGGAACCAGGGTACATCAGAACTCAACCCTCACTTTTATTGTGGGTCATTGACTCCAGAAAAGACAGTGACACCACCAGGAACTTGTTGCATTTAAAACAAGTCAGCAGTCACAGCGCCATTTTAGGTAACTGTGTGCATTGGATAGTGTGCAGATGTTTTTACCATGGATTGATTGGACATGATTGAATAACAAATTGGCTTTGTCAGAGGATTTGGGGTTAAGTGACATTAGCTGGCTTTTGTCTATACCTACTGTTTACTGGTATCTATGGAAACCCTTCCGCCATTTGATAGCAGGCTTTATTCCTCCCTAATCCAACAGAAGCCAAATCTCCACTGATCTTAAAGGGACAAGCGCTCTGACCAAAACGTTTGTAGGTCAATATTTTAGGTGAGAGGCTGGTGGTGGTGGTTGTATCACTAAAGGTGAAAGTGCATGAAGACAGGTGTATTCACTAAGGAATTGGTGTGGTGAACCAGGAACAGCCAATAGGGCAGCCACTAAGGACTATTATTTTATGTATTTATTGCTTTGTGGAAATTTTTGACTGTCTTTGGTATTTATGGTATATATTAAGTGACGTATGTTTTTATACACATGTATGACTAGTGTATTTATTTAGTGCAGTGCTGGATCCTTTAGTTTATATATGTTTTATGTGTATGAAGGGGGTAAAGAGCACTGAACTAGTTTTTTAGGGAAAAGCTTGGACATTATGCAGATTGCCTATTGCTGGTTCCCCTGAAAACAGTCATCCTAGGATTCTTCTGCGATATACAGACTGGATAACTTTCGTCCACTCCAAAACTTACTTGATCAGGTTATTAAAAATCTTTTATATAATTACACTGGCCATACATTATACAATTTTCTTGAGAATTTAGATTGACCAAAAACCATATAATACGAGGTAAAACCTAAACAACACTTTCAATTGTATCCAGTTAGGCAGGACCATGCACTACATAGTTGAAGGTAAATCTAAAGGAAATTGGGCAAAAATTGGACAGACATTTATAAGAAAATTGTATAGTATATGGCCAGCCTTAGGCTGGCCATACATTATACAATTTTCTTTAGAATTTTGCTTTAGATTTACCAAAAAACATATAATACGAGGTCAAACCTAAAGAAAAAAACTTTCAATTGTATCCAATTGGGCAAGACCATGCACTACATAGTTGAAGGTAAATCAAAAGGAAATTGGGCAGAAATTGGACAGAAAATTGTATAGTGTATGGCCAGGCTAAGGCTGGCCATACACTATACTATTTTCTGTTCAATTTCTGCTCAATTTCCTTTAGATTTACCTTCAAGTATGTAGTGCAAGGGCTTGCCTAATTGGATACAGCTGAAATTGGTTAGGTTTGACCTCATATTATATGGTTTTTGGTAAATCTAAAGCAATTTTCTAAAGAAAATTGTATAGTGTATGGCCAGCCCTATGCAGGCCATAGATGGGTCGAAAACCGGCCATTTTTTTTTCAGCCAAAAGAAAAATCATCTGATTTTCGTACTGTGTGTGGGTTAGTTCATCACCCGTTTTTTGAGTTTTTTTTTCTCTTTTGGATTATCAGTCATGTTGGGAAATTTTTGAAAAACAACCGATATTCTCCTCATTGATGGTCAAACCGTACGATCATTTTTACGAAAATTTTATGCGCATGTGCAATGACTGGAAAGAAAAGAAGTTTCTCGCATATGAAATTTCATTTCCGGAACAAAATGGGTAACAAAGGTCACAAAATTACACCATTTCCTGTTACAGGTTAAGATTTTCACGGCTTAATCGGCCGAGTTTAGTAATCATTGGTGGTTACGTCGGATATAAGACCGACCGATATTTTGTTTATCGAACGAAAAATCAGAATAATTTCGTACCATCTATGGCCTGCATTAGTCATGGTTCTTCTCCTTAGCCATGTGATGTAGTCTGGTAATAGTGAGGCCTTTGTGTATGCCAACATTTCAGTGTATAAACAAACCTTTCTTCTAGGCACAGTAACAGAATTCCAATCATCTGAAAAGACTTCAGTCATCGCTCATTGTTTTTATACATTGTGCATGAATTGTATT